CTTCTCCTGTCTTATCTTCTGTATCATTAACATCTTTGTTGTGCTCATGGTGGAAACTGATTTAGCATTACAGTGAGTTACTGTGATAAGATATGCCACATTTTCTATAGCATTTAGTTTATCCAATAATATGGAATGATCACTTAATCCATTTTATGGATAAAGAAACTAAGGCTCTGAGTGAGAGAATATAAACCCATGTGCAGTTACACAGCAAAGTAAGTGGCATACATTACAGCTTGTGTGGAATCCCTTGATCTCTGTGCTATAATAAGATCAGAACAGAACAAATACATATATATTGTGTATATATGTATATATATCACTATATATTTGTATATATATTGTGTGTATATATATCACTGTATAGATATTTGTATATATATAATTGTGTATATATATACATAATCATGCAGCACATAAAGATGTTTTAGTCAATAATGAAACAATATATAATGATGATCCCATAAGATTATATCACTTACCCAAACATTGTATGCACATATGAATAAAATAAAAATTTTTAAAAAAGATTATATCACTTAGTCATATTTTAGCCATCTTTGTTCAGTTAGTACCCTCCATGATGTTTGCACAAAGATGAAACTGGTTAACAATGCAATTCTCAGAATGTATTTGTCGTGTGTACACATCTCCATTAGCTTATAGCTGAGCAATTATTATTGTATTTACTACGTGCCATCACTGTTTTCAACAAATCATATCTATTAACTCATTTAAACTCATATTGTTCTCAAAAAAGTAGTGCTTTGTAGTATTAATATTACCACCATTTTTACAGATAGGAAGACAGAGGCATAGGCCATCTGGCTCTATGGTTAGGTTCTTAACCATTAGTATTAACCTTGAGGATACTATGCTAAGTGAAATAAGTCCACTATAGAAAAACAAACACTGCATTACCTTACTGATGGATGAGATCTAAAAAGGCCAAATTCACAGTGTCTGAGAGTGGTTGCTAGGGTTGAGAGGAGGGAGAAAATTTTAGTTATAAGATGAATAAGTCCTGGAGATCTAAAGTATAGCATATAATAATAACATATATTTTTGAAATTGCTGAGAGGTCTTGTGTCCTCATCCCCCGCACACACAGTGTGACGTGTTCATTAACTTAATTGTGATAATCATTTATAATATAAATATATATTAAATCACTACATTGTGCCCCTTAAATATATCCAATTTTGTTAATTACATCTCAATGAAGATGGAAAAATTTAATTAAATTTTAAAAATAGCATTCCCATCAGTTCCATCTTACTCTGATTTCTTCTTCTTCAAGAACTTCCCAGAATTAATGGAAATTTAAAGTGATTTATTAGTTATTTCATGCTCCCTCCACTAGAATGTAAGCACCATAGGGTAAAGTCACCCCTCGGTGACTGTAGGAGGTGCTCAGTACATGCTTGTGGACTCTACTTTGTTAGTCTAAGTGTTCCCAGGTCAGATGCAGTGCAATGAGGAGCACTGGCATGTCCTATCTCTGGTGGTAGCTGTTACTGCTGTAACTATGGGTGATTCTCAGGAGAGAGAGAGAGAGAGAGAGAGAGAGAGAGAGCGATATGGTCAGTGAGCAATGAAGGGGTGGCTTAGAAGTAAGGATGTGGGTTGTCAACAGTGCTTCACATGGAGAAGAAGGCAGGTGGGGGCCATTTGTTGAAGTCCTTGGTGGCAACATTTGGAGACACAAGAAAGGTCTGCCTGGCTACAATGGGGTGCTCTTTTCCAAGCTGAACCTGATGGGGAAACAGACCCTATGTCCAGTGCTAATAACAGAGGTTCATGATACAAGGCAAATGCTGGGCTCAGGAAGAAAGGTGAGCTTGGGGAGAAGTTTGGTTGATGAGGTGGGAAATCAGGTCTCTTGCCAGAGTGTGGTGTTGAGTTGTTGAGAAGGGACTCCAAGGTCTGAGTAATTGGGAGCAAGAGGTCATCAGTAGACTTTCTCCCTGTTCCTCAGTCTCTCCCTCTGTGAAGTGAGGATAATAATACTATTTACCTAATGGTGCCATTGTGAGAATAGAGGAGGTGACATAGATAAAGTGTTGAGGACATGATCTGGCACATAGCAGGTGGTACCACACATCAGCTGAAACTACCATGTATGTATTGTTTCCACTCACACTGAGCCAATCTTGTAGACTGGGCTGGGTCTTAGGGCCATGGAAACATTAGGGTGAGAAACTGTAATGAGCCATTCAGGCAGCCATGCTCCATGGCCAGCCCTCCCAAGCAGGTAGCTCTGTCACCTCTCCAAAGTGGCAGGATGGATTCATGGTCAACGCAGGGACTAGAGAGGCAGCTGGATTGAATCCTGACTCTATTGCTCACTAGTAGTGTATGTACTTGACTTGGCCCTGTTAAACCTGAACTCCTGACACCTAGAGACTGGTTCTAGGATAAGTTCCTCAGCCAGCAGCAACACTGGGAAGTCCTTGGAAAAAATGTCTGCCCAATCTAAAAAAAAATCAGTCTTCTGTTTTTGTTTTTTTTTAAACATAAGTTTATTATTTATTTTACTTTTTCCTTCTTTTTGTTAGCATATAATAGTTGTACAGGGGGGCGCATTGTGACCTTTACATATGTGCTTACAATATATCTTAATTAGATTCACTCCCTCCATATTTTTTCCTCATCCCTCCCTTCTTAGAACAATTTCAGCAAGTTTCATTGTTTTATTTTCAGACTCAAATACAAAATACATCCACCATATTCTGCCTCTTCCACCCTCTCCATTTACCTTTCCCCTCCCGCTGGTACTCACTTCTGGACAGGACCTGTTTTACCTTCCTATCCTTCATTTTTTAAGTGTATATTGATTGTTTAAGGGGGTTTTGCCTTGGTTTTTCAGACATGTAGATATCATGCTTTGATCAGATTAACCCCATCTATTTCTTTTTCTCCATCACCTTGCTCCCCTATTATCCATCAGTACATTATGTTACACTGTCTTCATACACAGATGCATTGTGTTTCGATATCATTCACTCTCTATTTCCTTTCTCACACATATATATGTGTGCATGTGTGTGTTTGTATATAAAATCATATACATATTTATGTATACCTTTATCTTTTAAGTCTAACTCCCACACATGAGGGAAACATGTGCCCTTTGTCCTTCTGAGCCTGGCTTAACTTCACTTAACATGATGAGCTCCAGTTTCATCCGTTTACCTGCAAACAGTATAATTCCTTCGTTATGGCTGAATAATATTCCATTGTATACATACAACACATTTTCCTAATCAATTCATCAGTTGTGGGACATCTGGAGAAGGAAGTATACATTATATATATTGATCTTACATTGGCTATAGATAAGAGGGGTAGGATGACAGAGAGCAGGGAAGTAGCAACCATGGCCTCTGGGTTGGTTAGAGCTCTGAGTGTGATGAGGTGGGCATGATAGATTTGAGTTAAATTTTTGCATACATTCAAGAATGTAAAATGGTTTTCTATTCTTTTGACCTTTTGCTTGTTACTAATTAAGTCTCCCATTGTTCTTCCTTTCCTCTTGCCCTCTGGCAATTAAATTTAGGACATCTCAGAGTTTTTTTCCTTATTAGTCACTTATCCTCTGTGTACCTCAGCTTCCTTGTCAGTAATACAGGGACGCTAAGAGTACCCAGCACATAGGAAAAGAATTTAGACCAGCACTCAGTGTTAGTTTGCCTTATTGACATGGGTGGTGGAGAGCTTAAGCAGCTCAGATGTACAGAATCAGGTTCTGAGTTGAGTTTATGAATATGGTCAGGTTAGCTCTCTTTGTCTTCTTGTTTTGGGGGAATGCAGCTGATTCTTATCTTAAGGCTTCTGTTTAGAGCATGGCCAGGTTTAGATCATTTCCCCAGATTGGCCGCTAGATGGAACATGTGTTCTTTTCTGCCACACATGCTGTAGCTATTGCCTGCTTTCTCATTTAGGCCTCAAAGCACACTCCACTAAAAGTGCTAAGCCCAGTGCCTGGCACGTGGCAAGGCTTCCAAAACCATTGGGTATCCTTCCTATTGTTGTCATTCGCACTTTACAGAGAAGGGATTGAGGCACAGAGAGCATAGCAGGCAGGTGAGCCCAGATTCTAAGCTAGACCAGGGCTGGTTGCAGGTCAGCCTCTGTCCCCTGGGCCTCCTTTCAGGGGAAACAGAAGTTGCCTTGGGCATACTGCAAGGGCCTCCATCGTGTCTACGTTTGCTCTCTGAATTCCACTATTTACTCCCTGTTTGATATTAAGCCAATTAATTAGACTTTTAGATTTTCAGAGTCTAGTTTTCTCATCTGTACAATAGGAGTTATACATTGTTCCTGGGACAATTATACCCAGTGTGTCTTCTTTCTAAGCCATAGGAATTTGGGTAGTATCACCCATTTTTCTCCCTGAGGTCCTCTCTCTGCAGGACCCTGTCATTGTAGACTACACAGCTCAGATACCATCTCTTGTCTTCCTGTGAGACTTCAAAAGCAAGTCCACAAATGTTTTAAGTACCACTGGCATCTTCAAATCCCAATTTGCCCAACGCCAACCACTCTGCCTAACATGATTCTATGATTGAGTTTGAGATCAAAAGATTTTTCTGAGGTACCTGGGACACCTGGTGGGAAGGTAGGGTTCTTTTTTTTTTTTTGCAGTAGAACAGCTCTTATCTTATCTAATTTATATTTGGGGGGCTACATGTAATATTTTGCTGCTAGAGAAAATCATCAAAGACAACTGCTATGGAGAGCTTAGGGGATGAGTTTGAGATAATTCAGGAAAATCTCCAGGAAAGAGACTATGTTTGGGATGTATTTGAGAATCAGTTTCCAAGGAAAATGGAATTTAACTTCAATTCCTGTAATTTAATGGTTGTGTGGAATCCAACTTGCTATCACCATCAACTTAACTAATTGGGGTTCATACTGTGCTTTAAACTTTGGCCAGAGAGGCCTTCAGCCACATCTTGCAATCTAATCAGGACTCTGCTCCTTCTGTGTTGCAGTGCCCTGGTTTCCAAGGACCATTCAAGAGCTGGACAGATTTGCCAATCAGATTCTCAGTTATGGAGCTGAACTGGATGCAGACCACCCTGTGAGTCCATGGCCCTTAAAATGAGATTCTTTCATTTCCTCTCCTCCCCTTCCCTCTTCCCCATTGTCAGCTTGGAGAAATATGTTTATTTGTTCAACAAACATTTATTGCGTTTCTACTACGCCAGGGCTGAGGAAGTGAAGATTAACAAGACATCATTGTCGTCATCATTATCACAGTCATTGTTATTGTTGGAGCAAACATAAAGCACTGTCCGGAAACTATTGCCTCTATATAATCATTGGATGTATATACAAACACACATGTAAACCATTTCTATTACTGGCTTGTACATTTATGCAGATTTGAATCAAGTGTATCAACAACTCTGCCAGCTGCAGGGGCTGGTGGAGAATGGTGACATTGGACCTGGACCTTAAAATCTGAGTGGCAGGCACTAGTCAGATGAGGAAAGGGCAAGCATTTGACTGAAAGGATGATATAGGCAAAGACTCAGGGTCCTGCCAGTGTCTGGACACTGTGGGAATGGCTGGTTGGTACTTTAAGTGTGAGGGTGAGAGATACAAGAATGAGGAACTTGACTGGGCCTCATGTCCTGTGGGCAGGACATGGGTCCTTTAACAAGTTGTCAATAGAGGACCATGGTGGGCAATCTTCTCATTCCCTTTTCTCTGGGGCAGAAGGTCCTGGGGAGGAACAGCCCAGGCTGTGGTTCAGGGTGGGTTCTAATGGCCACCTTGGGTGAGAAGTGCACCATTGTGGCCTTGTGTTCTCTGTTTTCTGCCAGACAGATGGTTCCCCCTTGTCTTTAATGACTCAGAAGCTGTTTACATTTGCAGGGGTTTAGTGTAGCTGTAGTTCTGTGCTGGGAAGTGTCTGCATTCCATCAGGAGTCTTTTTTCTCCTCACAACCATGTGGGTCCTAACTGTTGACAAAGCACTTCTCTGTAAGGAAAGCAGAGGTTTCCATCTCACAGACAGATGCACTGAGGCCCAGTGAGGGCAAATGCCTTCTTTAAGGAACCTGGCCAAGCCTTGGCCTTGGCTGTATTGACCTTTTTTGTTGTTGTTGTTGTGGTGCTGAGGATGGTACCCAGGGCCTTGCACATGCTAGGCAAGTGCTTTACCACTAAGCCACACCCTCAGAACCTCCTTTGACTCTTAACCTGGTACTCCTAAAGACACAGTCCTGCTGATGTCAGAAATCTAGGTCCTTGGATAAAAACAAAGGGGGAACTATTTAGTGGACAGGCTGCCCTTGTAACATATGAACAATTCATGCTTATTCAATTCAAACATTATACCCCTGGTAGTGAACTTGAAAGTGCAGAACAGCACAGGGAAGAAAATGAAGGTTCCTTTATATCTTTAGCTATTTCTATTTTTCTGTTCATTCTATCACATATTTTTTTAAATGAGTATTTTATAAACGGAAACAAGGGAATTCCCTCCTGTCCTCCAGACTTCAAAACAGAGAAAATGTCACGTATTGTTATACTCTTCTAAAATAACATTTCTATTTGTGTATGAGAAGGCTCTTGCCTGTGCATCTTCATGTGAACTTCTCATGGCTTCCCTGTCCTTGATTCTTTCTTGTGAATTTAGACTAAGTTATTCTAAACCAAGGGCAGAAATCATATTTAAGGTCCCTAGTATTACTTATAGACTCTGTCTCACCAGGTGTGGTAGCACACGTCTGTAATCCTAGCTCTGGGAAAACTGAGGCAGGAGGATGGTGAGTTTGAGGTCAGCCCCAGTTACATAGTAATGCCCTGTCTCAAAAACAACAGTAACAACAACCAATAAAAAACTAGCCTCCCACCCCAAACGAAACTAAATCCAAAGGTAATGCTGTAAGGTTTTTGGTTTTTTTTTTAATTATTCATTTATTCACATGTGCATACATCGTTTGGGTCATTTCTCTCCCCTGCCCTCCTCTCCCCACTCTTTCCCCCCCCACCCCCCTCGCTTCCAGGCAGAACCTGTTCTGCCCTTATCTCTAATTTTGTTGAAGAAAAGACATAAGCATAATAAGTAAGACAAAGCATTTTTGCTAGTTGAGTTAAGGACAGCTATACAGAGAGATTCTTAGCATTGCTTTCATGTACACATGTGTTACAACCCATGTTGATTTATCTCTAATTGATCTTTACACTAGTTTGCTGGAAGGTTTTGATTCCCTGTCTATGAGTCAATGATTCCGCCAACTCCAATGGAGCCCAAGGGTAGCAAAAGCCACTATGGTGGAGCTCTGATGTCTGCTCTGACACAGCTCTGCCTGAGGTGCTCAGCTGTTGGTCCTATAAATAAAGCATCTCCAAAGAGTTCTCCTTTCTCAGGAAGGCTTCTGTTCGACCGACCTTGACACAAACATGGGGTCTGCTCATCAGGACCTTTCTTCCTCACCATCCCGAATCTTTCTGTCCTGACCCTCTGTCCCTTACCTTGGCCTCACTCCCTAAGTATTTGGGTCAGTGGGAGAAGCAGCCAGTCCAAAGATAGGGACATTTCCTTCCCTGTATTCTCCTGCTCTCTTAGAGTCAAATTGGCTGACCTTAAATCTCTGGAATTCACTTCTCTTTGCCAACCCACACCACATCTTTGGCTCTCTTGCTTCTCAGTGTCATGAATTTTATCATAAAAATACAACTTATCAGGTACACAGTCCCCTGAAGAAAAGGCGCCAGGCTCTCTCTGTTCCTTGGGATTTTCATCAGATCCTGGGAACAGGGGCCAAGTACAGAGCAAACCTTCCCGGGTGCTTCCCTGCAGCCTTCCAGGCCCCACAGGCCTGGCCTTACTGTGAGAACTGCAAGCAGACACCAGCCCAAAAGCAAAGTGGCTGTTCCTCTCCAAAGGACCCTCTGTTCTGCAATGTCCCTTTGCAGTCACTGTGATCCCTTCCTCCCCTGACCCCTGCCCTTGGCGGGATGCACTGATATTTGACCCAATATCACATACCAGGGCCATCAAAACAGTGACTTTGAGAAATCAGGGAAAGGAAGGATTGATCCTGGAACAGAGGGTAATAGGGTATCTGCCTTTGGGCTTTAGGTAAGTGAGAAAATAAAGCGGAATGGCTATACTTCATTCTGTCTCTCCTGACTACCTCCCTTTGTTACCAGCCTGTTTCTTGCTCCTTCTCTTCTGCCTTTCTTCTTAAGCTAATGACATGCATAGTTTACCCTTCTTGAGCAAGGGCTGTAGGCCAGTGGACTATGCATGCATTTTTAATGTGATTGTTAGTCAGCATCCTGGAGGGTTGTACTTTTCATGTTCAGATGAGGACTCTCAGACAGAAGTGTATGTAAACTCTGCTTTAGGATAGGTAAGGGAAAGGGAGCTAAAGTGATAAAATAAGACACGATTCCTGCCTTCCAGGGACAACCACTAACAGAGTAGAGAGAGAAAGGGTGGTCACTTTTCTCAGAGTGATGCCGGAGGGACCTGGGGTAGCAACTGTGAATTGGGCAGGCAGAATCCAAGTGGTTGTGTATGATTCCAGTTCCAAAATTGACCAGGTTGTGTCCTCTACCTGATAAGTGCTTACTTACCATCCTACCCATCCTTTCCCCACTGGCAAAAGCTCCTATATCTTGCCTCCCCAGGCTTCAGCTTTTGTGTTGTTGCTGTAGGAAGAACTGCGTGTCCATGTCAATGTTGATAATTATCTCAGTGTGTTTTGTACTTTGAGTACAGAGCCCCGAAACTGTTCTGTGTGTTTCAGATCTCTTGAACTACTCTTTGACCTTTCACGGTGTGGTATTGTTTCCCATTCACCAGCACATTCCCCCAAGAACAGGTCAATGTTTCCCAGCACTTCTTTCCTCTTTCTTTTGCCCCCACCTGTGGGGCCAAAGACTGATCTCACTCCAATCAAATTGCTCTATCAAAGAATAATTTTCAAGCACTTAAACACATAACTGCCATGCAGGTATACAATGAACACCTGTCAAAGATCCATTCCATTCATGAATGAGGGAACCCACAATATGACAGAAATGGTCAAAGAAAGATACAAGAGGCCAAAGCATAGACTGAAAAATGAAATGCTGGAATAAGATCACAAAGATGGAAGCACAATTAGTGTCTCCTCAGGCAATGAACCATAATCATGAGTATGTCCCTTCCTACTAGACAGAGACCATTTGCAACATGACCCTGAAATAGTTCATGACTTATCAATCTTCTAAAAGGCAGCACTTACTTTGAAGAATCTTAATTAGTAAGTAGTAAATTCGTGCTTCCCTGGAGCACACAGTAAGCTTGTAAGACAATGATCTACGGTGACATTGAAAAGGTACATGATAATTTCATTTTATCTTTTTTTCCTAAGCTTTGCATAATTTTTTACTAGTTCCTATTCAGAGTATCCTGAGTGTGCTATGCACTGAAAATGCAGTGATAAATAAGACAAACAGGTTTCTGTGCTTTTGTCATTTTTAACAAGTGTGATGACCATCTGACAAGAGAAGATCACAAGGAGCTGAGGGAGTGTGTTAGAGAAGGAAGCCAATGAAATCAAGGAGGGTCTCTAAAATAGCATCTTAACTCAAAATGGAAAGAACTGGTAATAGCTTATTGATTGAAGATGATCCCATCAGAGGGAAGAAAATGTGAAGGCCTTGATGTGGAAAAGAACATGGTGTGTTTATGCAATCAGAGAAAGACCAGTACAGTTGGGAGCAGAGTTGCTCATGGTAGAGCTGAACACACATACAGGCCCTTGTGGACTCTCCTAAGGATTTTGGATGTTCTTCTAAAAGTGTGGCAGAGCCATTGAAGTTTTTGAGAAAGAGAATGACCTTATCAGATTTGCATTTTGTTAGTATAGTTGGGCTGAAGTAAAGGGAGACAAGTGGACAACTGGAGAAGGTACTTGGAGGGCCAATGAAAGATACTTAGAGAGTAGATATAGAAGTCCAGACAGGAAACGATGGCAATAAAAATGAAGTAAGGAGATCAGACAGATATGTGGAAGGTAGAATTGTCAGAAATTGATGACTGGATGTGAAGCAAGAAAGGAGGGGTGAAGTAGA